CAAACTCGTCATTTGTCAAATGTCAGCTAAGACTTCTCAGGCTGCACTTTTTCCTCTGGGGACATTGGCACGTCTTTTCTCTTTACTTTCGTGCCATTTGAGTATCTTTGTGTTTAGAGTGTTGGTTAGACAAAACAAGACATTTAAAAATGGCATCTTAGGGAAATTTCTTGCATGCATTTTTGGTCTCAATAATATTTTTTTTTTAAATTGACATTAGGGTGCAGCCCTGTTTTTTAGGATATCATCATTTTAATTAGGTGTTGACCTCGAATGCATCAAGAACAGATTCAAAAGTTATTATATTACATTAACAACCCCCCCCAACCCAAAAAAAACAAAAAAACAAAAAACTCACTATTCCTGTGTTTGCGTCTTTTCCCCACTTAAGTTTCCTCACTGAGTTGTAGAAATTCCTGGCTGATCTCTATCCAGGTCAGTTTGAGCTTCTGAAATAAATCAGGCGATGTTTCTCCTTATTTGGCCTGCAGCTCTCGGCATTCAGCCGCTGCAGTTCATCCTGCTAATGAAACTGGAGCTGCAGGATGCCACCGACACGCTGGATGTCTTCCTGTGGAGACACGCTGTGAGTTTCACACTCCTGTTTTTTGGTGTCAGATGGGATTAGACAAAGGGAGAACATCTGGATTTATTATATATTTCACTGTTGTCTTGTAAAATTTTGCGCTGTTTGGGTTTTTTGCCCTAAAGAAGTTAGGTCCAATATTCATATATTTTGGTGTTTTGGATGTCAACAAATCAAATTCTGAATTTTTAAAAGCTCTTGTCTAACCAAGAATGTGGGTAAAGTAGAAACATTAGTTTGCTTCTTACAGCAAGATATAAATAAGAGGATAACTGAAAGTAACTTTTGTTTATAATGTCTGTGGGCTTTGTAGATGTGATAAATAAATGCTAATTGTGAGTTTTACTCTTTCTTTTTTCACCAGGAGTCATTCTTTGGTGTGTCTGCAGAGGATGCTTCAGCCAATCAGGAAGCTCAGAACAGCATCTGCCAAATCATGGACTCTCTCTGTCCACCAGGTGGCAACGTGGGTATGTCTGTCAAACCCATACACAGTACATGAAAAATGGACATAGCTTCTTGGTCAGAAAAGTTGAGGATGTGTGCCTTAAACCTTAAACCTGCATGTTTTTTTAAAAGGCCAATAGGTCCCAGCTTCTCTGGTCATATTGAAAAAAGGTCTGGCTGTATAGAAATCTCCAGTGCCTCTCAGCTACCTGTGACTTCAGAAAAAAAAACTTCTGTGTTTTTCATATCAGTTGCTTCTTTCGTGCTTTTTGGAAGTCCAGTTTCAAAACAGAAAGATGGAAATTGGAAAACACTCATAAAAATGTGACATGACTCATGTCCATCTTTCATACAGTGTGCATGGTCAAATCATTAGAATAATTCTTCAGTTTTAGTTATGGAAACATAATAACTT